TAATTTTTTTATGTTTTTCATGGGTTCAAAACAGAGTTGATTATTTCTCGGTTAGAGCAGGATGAATATTATTCTGCAATGAAGGAAATAATATTGCTTTTTGCAAATACACATCACAGTATCAACGCTATTTTATTACGTTTTGTTCCAAGAATGTTGGATGTCTCCAGGGAGTTGCATGCTTAATTGTTATGTCTTATGGAGTTGTATGGTTTGATTGTGTTTCATTCTCAGTTTATTCTGAACTTAAAAAGATTAAGAAAAGGCAAATGAGTTTGAGTGTTCTTAATTAACAAGATTTCAGAACATTGCAGAAGTTAGAAGAGCTTCACAATTCCATTGTGACAGCATGCCCTAATTCAGAACTACGAACGATCCATGATGATCCTTCGCGATGCAGTGGTCTCATGAAATAAGGAAACGTATTCGTGCTAGGAACACACACAGATTTCGGACGAATAAATCTTGCTTGTATTTTGTAGATAATAATACAGAGTTTCATAATAAACAATTTGTCAGGTGTCATTTATTTACTGGTAATCGTGCATGTTTCAGTCGGGCAAATCTTGATTAATATTTGATACGCCGTTTTTTGCATATTTCAGACACATCCAGAAATATGCTCCCGAATTTAAACATTAATATCTCCTTGAATTTTTAAGTGAAACACAACTGTAGTATATCAAAATCTAAGTTAGTCCTTCTTCTATTTGGTGCAAGTTATTTCTCTTTAAAAGGTTTACTTGTTTAGAAGTTATTACGAATCAAACCGGAGTACTTTTTTTGGGACACCCGGTATACTAGCAGTATTATCCAATTGCTGTTTATAACGGTAGTTTTTGACATAATGTATTATGCTTTTCCATCGAAATAGCAAGTTAAGTTGCCAAGCAGCCAGAAGCTTTGGCAAGCTAGAATTGAAAAAAAGTAAAAGAAATAAAACTTTCGTAAATCTTACCTGCCGTACAGATTTATATATCCACATATGTCGTAACGAGTTCGTTTATATCTTGTTCGTACTGAATTATATTGACACAGAGACCCCGTTTACACTCTAACAGATTCGCTGGTCACGACATCTTCGTTTGCTGCCCATGCAGGAACAACGTTTAACAACAAAGGTTTACTCTTTCGATAGCGTCGAAAACTTTTGAAAAGCTAAAAATGTTTCGCCACATTGCCCTATTTTCTTGCATATTTTACTATTATCTTACATACTGTTTCTTGTTTTTCAGTTTATTCAGTTCCACCACTTTTTCCTAACTTTCAATTTTTCTGAGGGGCAGCAGCCCATTCTTCCTCACAATGAACCTTTCATTATATCAGCACATGCATGCCCACTACGGAAGAATATCTACCAGGGCGAATAATAGAGTATTATATCGACTTTCGGGCTTGCTGATTTTAAAATATTTCAACCTAAACAGGCGCTGTTTAGAGCTGTTTATTGTAGTTTTATTATTAATTCTATCTGATCAATTAGGCTACTAGACTGGATTCGTTCCGCCTGCTTTTGTTTGGAAACATGCATGACCGGTCCCCCAACCAACGTTTTCTGTTGATTTTTTCAGTTCAGGTGAGTTCAAATTTTAGCAATCTTATAAGTGGACTTAATAAGAAATAGCAATGGACCATATTCCACAATCAGTTATTTTTTTCATTTGAACCGGAAACGTAATTAATTTGTTTATGAGAAGATGCCTGTCAACAGTACGTGTCTAAGGAACCTTGTTTGAGAGTTTGGTGTCCTGTATCATGTACTATATACCGAGCCAAGGATTCGAGCTCGGATTCGAGCTCGGAATTCGAGCTCGGATTCGAGCTCGGAATCGAGCTCGGAATCGAGCTCGGAATCGAGCTCGGAATCGAGCTCGGAATCAAGCTCGGAATCAAGCTCGGATTTGGGCTTTAATTAAGTTTTATTATAGTCTAGGACCTGTATATGAGTGTGTATGCGTTTCATTTAGCACAGGTAATCTCAACTATTTTAGGGTAAAATGACCATGGCGGTCAACATGGCATATGTGCCAAAACCTGAATCCGGGACAAAAGTCCTGAAAATGACCCCGCCCTGAAACGGCAGTGTCGACAGAGTTTATCTATTGGTCGAGTGTCGAGGGTTAAATGTCGACGGCGAGGGTAAAAAGTCGAGGGTGAGGGTAAAAATTCGAGGGTAAAAAGTCGAGGGTTAAAAGTCGAGGGTAAAAAGTCGAGGGTAAAAAGTCGAGGGTTAAAAGTCGACGGTGAAAAGTCGAGGATTAAAAGTTGAGGGTGAAAAGTCGAGGGTGAAAAAATCACAAAAAAATGCAATATTAAGATCAAGTAACCGCTTTGAATAAGGCCATAATGACGTCTACGTGTCTTCTCGGCAGTATTTTTATATGAGCACTTCTAAACCAAATATAATCAAACCTATAATATGCGTTCCACGCACATATACTATATACAACACGTGTATTCTGCGTTTTAGCGTGGCTTTGCGTCCTGGTGCATTTGCATGCAGCCGTGCAAACAGCAATACAATCAGTTATATATTGTTTATTTTCTACACAAACTACAGTATATTACATACAAGCAGGGCTCTTTAAAACAAAGCGCCCTGCTTTAACCGGCAATAAATAAACCGATAATGTAGGGGCAATTAATATCGCAACTTGATATGTATAGGTAATAACATGGTTCGAGTGCAATTTGGATATAACATGCACGAGTGAGTTTTTCAAAGACCTCAAAATAGCACGAGTCCGAAGGACGAGTGCTATTTGAGGCAGGGGCGTAGCATGACCTTTTTAACTGGGGGGTGTAACATCTAAGCTTTACCGACCCACGCGCCACGAGGCGCCACCATGGTTGGCGCCGAGCGGAAAATTTTTGAAAATATGGAGTCTCTAGATCGTTGGAAATGGCATTTTCAGAGCCTTCTGTACCTTATACACACAAGGTTTGGTAGCTTTTATTTATATCAAACAAAACCATATTGTTGAAGTTGTGTTATTTTCGAAATCTGTCGGAATCCGTCAGATATTAACAAGCTGTGAGACTGTGAGCTCACCGTGAGGTTTTATTAGAATATACCATAACAGCTATACAGCAATTGACAAATAAATATTTCGGCGCGCGTTTAATTTAATGACACTTACCGTGACTTTAGTCAGCCGTCTAGAAATAACGTAGAACCAGAAACGTAGCAAACGCTTTATTAATTGGAATAATTGTTGTCTTTGTTACTTATCTATAAGTCATTTTACCCAATGGCATTTATCTTGTTGTTTATTGTAATGAACAGACTTGAAAAATTGGCGAAACATTTTATGAGCACCGCGTGTCAATAACAAATATATAAATATAATCTTTAATTCTTTTGCGTATCATTGTATCAAGGTCAAAAGTTCGCGCACAGTTGAACATGTCCAATCAGAACCGACTGTTTTCGCAGCTCTTGCAAGTGTAATACGATAGGAAATTAGGGGCTCCAATGCTTATGCGTAGATATTTGATATAAGTGTTTTAATACTGTAGAATTACGTACATTTTGCATAACTTTATTGGAGAACAAGGCACAACATTAATTTAATTTTTTTTTATTATTAAAAGCCATTTACCGAGGAGCAAAATTCCACTTTAACCGATTTGTTTTACCGACAGCTGTCATGGCTCTTGCCATTACCGAATAACTTCGCGTTTTACCGACTACCTCACTAAAACTGGGGGGGGTGTCACCCCACCTACACCCCGCACGCTACGCCCCTGATTTGAGGTCTTTCCACCGGCAAAGTTTTCCTGGGTTTGTTTTATCACATTATATAACGCTAACAGCTTGAAAATTCGGGTACCTTACACTTTACCGTACCGCAAGTATTTGATGGCGTGTTTTCTGACGGTTTTTCCGTTATTTTATTGGCGTGTTTGGATAGCGTATAGTAGCCGTTTTCACATTAGAAGACGGACAAGTCGTCTAGACGAACAAATCGTCTCAAAATCGTCTTTTAGTCGGACAAATCATGAGAAGTGAAAATGTGTCGAACAAAATTTTAGACGAACAAGTCGTCTGAATTTGTTCGACTACTTGTCCGTCGGTGAAGACGATTTTTGAAAGACGATTTGTTCGCCTAGACGACTTGTCCGTCTCTAATGTGAATAGGGCTAGTGATTACTCAGGTACTGTAAAGTGTAAAATTTCCGAAAATTCCACTCAACTATGTAATTTTTGTTTCTCTTGTTTAAGGTAAATGCTTTTCCATTTAAAAATAAAGATAAAGGCCATATTTTCCACGCCGGCGAAGGCAACTTTTACTTTATGTAGTGCGGCGCCATGTTTGTTTTGTTTTGAAGCAATCTGTGACCGTTACTTCTTTCAACTAAATTGCTTTAAACTGATTGGTTGATTTAATCATCGCAATGTTTTTCCACCAATCAGAACAGTTTGTTAGAGATTTTTGCACTGTGATTGCAGAAAATTGCACTGTGATTACAGAAAATTGCACTGCTGTTTGGGATTAGCTGCACTGAAATCAACCAATCACAGTCGAGTAATATCTTTATGTATATTATTAAGCCTAAAAACAAGGTTCTTTGTAGTATACTGTATGCGCTCAGTTCACCGGCTAAATTATTAAAGCAGATGAGGTGTGAAACACAAGCGTAAAACTCGGAGTACCTATAAACAATCCTGCGTTTAAAATAATCGCGGGCCTCCGAATTCAACGCTTTCCAAATTTTCTTGAGTGCACACGGAACAATAGCTTAGTTACTTGTCATCATTGCCAGTCTCGATTTTGTACCGTTGTAATGTGTCCACAAGCAAATTCGTAAAACACGAATAATAAAATTGAAACTTGGTTAATTTTATGATTGTTATTTATTTAACCAACTAACATGAACAGAAACAGCATCGACAATGACTAATTATATATAGGCAGCTAATTAAAAAAAAGTTGTCCTTCGAAAATCTCAAACCTTAAACTCTAAGCGCGCAAAGAGTGATAAGTAATTTTTTTTTAGGGGTTTTGCTTGAATTTTGATTGGTCTCACAGTTTAAGGTTTGAGATTTTGAAACGAAAACCTTTTTTGAAACACCTGTAATTATGGGAGAGGCTACAAGTAAGGCTAACCCTCATCAGAGGACCACTGGACCAGTAGTCCAAAATGGTTATCCTTTTTTTATTTACTACGACTCCTGTGATGAACATGTACGCAAAAAAAAACAGGGAAACTACGATTAGATAGAAACTGAATTACGTAATTATCATGTGACACGATAGAAAGCGAGGATATCAAAGAGCGAGAGATTGAATTTGAATAGGAAAGGCAACCCTGTACACGTTTCGACCTAACAGTATTCTTCAGCAGGGTTTTTTTTTAAGGGGGGTGTAGATAGAGTTTGCATGTAGAGT